GTGGAACCGGGAAGCTTGTGCACAGAAGCCGATGATCGATTTGAAAATCCTCTTGTCTGACTTAAGACATGGGGTGATGGATGTTCGCGTTAAGAGAAGCGCAGAACTGTCAACCGATCACCGCCTTGTTTTTGGCCCGCTGAGCTATGAGAAATGGAGTACCATCTGGTGTCAGAAGCAACCGGAGAATCAAATGGGAAATTATCAAATGGAAATGGACATGAGAGCAAAATTTGCTAATAACATGACATGACATAACATGAAGGTTTGAACAGATTCCGGTGATGACCGGTGATGTGGAAACCGAGTGACAGGCTTTTAAGAACGGCATACTCGAGGCTGCCGCCGAATGCTATGGATATAATCGGGTTGGCCTGCCACCTGGAGGTCAGAAAAGATCTTCATGGTGAACACGAGAAGTATAACTGCCAGTTAAAGAGAAGAAGGCTGCACTGAAGAAATTACTTGGAAGCATAGAGCCTTCAACTAGCATGCGATATGCAGAAGCGCGCAAGGCGGCAGCGCAAGTGGTGGCGAAAGCCATGTCTGATTCCTGGTAGAAGTTCAGTGAGGTATTGGAGTCGAATTTTCACACGACAGACAAGTTATTCTGGCAGACCATTCGCCGACTCTGAGATGAAAATAAAGACAGTTTAAGAATCTTCAAGGACAGGAGTATATATCCTCTTATCGAGGATGTGAACGTTCTTTAGAAATGGAGGGATTACTTTGAAGAACTCCTTAACCCTGAGCAACCACAGGTAGACTCGTCTTTCGAGCTGCGAGTAAGACATATTACTATTTTTGTACATGAAATCACACAAATTGTCAAAGGGAAATGAATCAATGAAATCCGCCATGAAATGCTCAAAGTAATAGGCGGACAAGGCATATGCTGGACGATACGTGTCTGTCAAACTCCAATCGCAACGGGGAAGACGCTAGCAGACTGGAGAACAGGCGCTGTTGTACCCCTGTTCAAGGAGGGCGACCACGGGGAGTGCTCCAATTCACGCGGCATTACGTTATTGAGCCTCCCAGGTAAAGTCCACGCAAAGGTGCTAGAAAGGAGGTGCCGCGGACTAACTGACTCCAATTGCAAGAAGAGCGTTGTGACTTCCGGCCCGGCCAGAACATACCTGACCAGATATTCGCTTTGCGCCAGATTGTTGACAAATCGTGGGAGTTCGTCCATACTCTGTATATGTGCTTTGTTGACTTAGAGAAAGCCTACCACCGGTCCCGCGAACATATGGGATCGATGGCCAGTTGCTACAGGCCATCAACCACTATATGCTGCTGGCAGGTGTTGCGTGAGAGTGAATGGTATTTCGCTCAACAGTGAGTCGAAAGTTTTCGCTGCTGGTCTCGGTCTCCGCCAAGGCTGCGTTCTGTCCTGCTTTCTGTTTGTGTTGTACACGGATAGAATGGTCAGTGCTGCCAGGGCATTGAGTGTATCAGC